TAACTCTTTGTACATTCAGCATTTATTAAAATTTATTATTATTTTTTCAACTTTTTGTGAATTGAGTGAAGATTTACAGACAAGATCATCAATTTACATTCAACAAACCATAAACTTTGTTTCATTTCAGTGATTGCAGTCCCTCCATGCAAGAATAGTTATCTCACTTCCTTCCTCTCATTCCTATTTCCACTCTACCCACCTTCCCATCTCTTCTCAACTTTTAATCTGAGGTACATGATGCTCTTTGTATTTTGAATGAATGACTATTTCATGGTGAGAATATCTTACTGGTGTTGTCGCACCCCCCCCCCACACACACACAAACTTATCTACTGCTTGCCTGAAAATTAGGCCACGAGAGTGAGTTCCTTTCTAGACCTGAAGGTTTTGAGTTTTGTTGTACAGTTTCTGCTCTCTATCTGGGACCTCCTGATATGATCCCATTCAGAACAGTTGGTAGTGATAGTCAGGAACCATCTAGTTATTTTGGTCTCAGTCATAGCAACTGGTGTTTATATATTACATTAGTCCTTTTGACTAATTGATTCTAGGCCTCATCAATTCTCATCATTCTTTCTTCTGCACATGGAGAAACCAGTAGCTATACTTCACAGAGCTGCTCATACGCTTTTAAGATCCCAGGCACTACACATTAAAGTTATGCCAATTGGCCATGTTGTCTCCTGAGACTATGGTCCTGAGCCCCCAAGCTCAGCAACTAATTGCCTTAAGATGTTTGATAATATCTAAGACGTTTTCATCATTTTGTATGCTGTATGCTCCACTACATTCATAGTTGTATTTATAGGAAAGATAAATACCCATGTACAGACATTCTCTTCCAAACTGTCATATAATTGTGGGATATATTAACATGTATTGTTGGTGTTCTTAGTGCTCTCGAGTCAGTTCCGATTCATAGTGACCCTGTATAGATTTTCCAAGGAGCATCTGGTGAATTGCTGACCTTGTGGTTCAAACCAGCTTTTCAGTCCAACACATTAACCCACAGTGCCACACCAGGACTCCATAAACATGCATATATGTGTGTGAGTGTGTATGTGTGTGTGTATCCTGTTCTTCCTCCCCTATCCATTTGGCCTGTGTCTCTGCCCATATATCTACCTGCAGAACATTGTTGTTCCAAGTATTCATCATTCTTTTGCCAACCTCCCTCTTCTTGTATATTGCCCTCCCCCTTCTTGTATGTTATCCTCCCTGTTACCAAAGTTAACAAGTGTCTCCCCTCTCCCTTCCCTCTCAACCCTGGTTACCATTAAAGAATGTTTCTTTTAGCATGAAAACTTTTTCTTGAGCTTTTGCAGTAGTAGTCTCATACAGTATTTGCCCTTTAGTGATGGACTCATTTCACTCAACATAATGTCATCCAGGTTGATCAATGTTATGAGGTGTTTTCGCAGATTCATCGGTAGTCTTCAGCGTTACATAGTATTCCATTATGTGTATGTACCAAAGTTTGTTTATCCATTCATTCTTCCATTGATAGACTTTTAAGCTGTCTCTTTTTCCTCTTGTGAATAGTGCTGTGTTGATAATTGGTGTGCATATATCTACTTGTGTCCTGGCTTTTATTTATTGAGGATATACACCAAGTAGAGGGATTGTTGGATGATAAGGTATTTCTGTTTCCAGTTTTCTGAGAAAGCACCATGCCATCTTCCACAATGGTTGAACCACTTTGCAGTCCCACCAACAATGTAGGAGGGTCCCAGTCTCTCCACACCCTCACCAGCATTTGTAGTTTCTGTGTTTTTGAACTTCGTTGTTCATGCTGGTATGAGATGATATCTCATTGTTTGTTTTGATTTGCATCTCTGTAATGGTGTTCTGGTGTGGTGCTGTAGGATATGCACTGGGCTAAAAGATTACTTTGAACAAGGCCAGAGGCTCCAACTCTTCACACACATCTCTAAAACTCTATCCTGGGTCCCTATGAGTTGGAACAGGCTCAACAACACTTACCAACAGTGGCTAATGATCATAAACATTTCTTCATATGTTTGTTGGCTGTCTGAATGGCTTCCTTTATGCAGTTTCTGTTCGTGTCCTGTGCCCATTTTTTAATTGGGTTGGTTGTCTTTTTCTTGTAGAGGTGTTGTAGTTTTCTATACATTTTAGAGAATAGGCCCTTGTCTGATATGTTGTTGCAAAAAAAATTTAAACAGTCTGTGGCCTCCCGTTTCACTCTTTTGACCAAAAAATACTAATTTTTTTAAAGTTTAGTTTACTTTTGTTCTTTTTAAGTTTTTGTTGTGAACTGAATTATAATTTACATGGGAGAACATCAGCTTTACACCATCATTTCATTGCAGTGATTACAGTCTCCTCCTGTATCATCATTCAACAGTATTGTCTTCCATTCCCTCTTGTTTTTGTTTTTGTTTGGGAGTGGGGGTATATACAAAAACACTCAAGAATATATAATCATTTAAACAACCAAAGAACACATTCTGCCAGCCTGCCTCCTGGCTGTCAGCATAATGCCCTCCAGGTTGGTTTTTTTCATGTCCCTCTCTTTCCATGAGTCCAGAGTCCTAAGCTGCTCCCTCTCTCCATGTCCTCATCTCTGGTGTTGCTATTTCTCTGGATAGAGTTCCATGTACTCCCTTGATAGTCCTAGGTCCTCTGTTTCTGGACTGTAAGATTAACTACTCCCCCATTTTTGTTACAAAACTTCTGTATATACAATGTGACAGTCGCAGTTAGACATGATAACAGTTACTGTTGAATCATAAGAACCTTATCCCCATCTCTTTTCACCAGACCCGTGTAGAGAAGATGACAGCTATTCAGTGGGGACTCTTTCTTTCCCCCCATACTCTTAAACTAAACTCCCTCTTGAAACCTTGTAAGGCAGTCACTTCGTGCCTTCATCACCCCCCTATTTTAGGTAGCCAATGTCTGAGTTGCCTGACCCTATCTACCCTGTATAAAGAGAAGAGATAGGATTGATACTTGATGTGAAGACTCCGTTCCTCTCAGTTGGTATTTTGAGCTACTACATCCATAAGTATAGGTCAAGTTCATCAAATTGTAGCAATTTATATTTGTTTCCTTTATCAAAATTTTGGGGTTTTTAAAAATCTTCCTCTAGTCCAGTTCTGATTATCAAGCCATCGAGGCTAGGTCAGATGGATACTGTCTTGTCTGCAAGTTTGGGCATTCTTACGCATATTCCCTTACTTCATATCAGCTGAATGCTTCACTCTCAGCTCTAGCCCTCCGTGGCTGTGTCCTTTTGACAAAATCTTTTGATGCACATAAATGCCTGACTTTTAAGGCGGTCTAAGTCATCTATTTTGTCTTCTACTGTTTGTGCATTTTTAGTAATGTTTGATAGTGTATTCGTGCCATGTAATAAGTTTGTCCCTATTTTTTCATTGATGATCTTTATGGTTCTAGGTTTTGCATTTGGGTCTTTAATCCATGTTGAGTTTTTTTGTGATGGGTTTTTTGTTTTATTCTTCAGCAAGTGGATTTCCAGTTTTGCCAGTACCGTTTTTTGATGAGACTATTCTCTTCCCCATTTAATGTGTTTTGGCCCTTTGTTAAAGAACAACTGGAGTCCTGGTGTGGTGCTGTTGAATAAAGCACTGGACTGCAAAGTTAGTTTGAACCACATGATTGACTGTTCAAACCCACCAGCTGCTCCTTGGAAATCCTATACAGGGTAATTATGAGTTGGAACCAACTCAATGGCACTTAACAACAACAACAACAACAACAAAAACCAAGTCTTTAAGAAGCCCTGGTAGTATAGTGGATTATGAGCTGGGCTGCTAACTGCGAGGTCAGTAGTTTGAATTTACTGTGCTCCATGGGGAAAAGGTGAAGCTTTCTACTCCTGAAGAGATTTACAACCTCAGAAACCCTATACAGCGTCGCTATGAGTTGGGACCAGCTCAACAACACACAATCACCACCACCACCAAGTCTGTGATTCCAAATATATACTTTTAAGTGTATATATGCAAGTACTCAACTCGTAGCCAGATCATAACTTAGAGAACATACTGGCTATAAAATACTATTGTCTTTATATGACACCTTTGCATTCATATCTGAAAACTAGGCAACGAGTAAGGAAGAACAAAGCATTGATGTCCTTGAATTATAGTATTGGTAAAGAATGCAGAATCTACCAGACTACCAGAAGATCGATCAAATTTATCTTTGAAGAATTGCAGCCAGAACGTGCCTTAGAAGCGAGGATTGCGAGACTTAGTCTCACATATTTTGAACATAGTTGATAATCTAGTTTTTCCTCTTTTCTGTACTTCGTATTTTAGGAAATTTTGTGCTTTTTAAAAAATACAGATGGGGGTTTGAAAACAGATATTAATACATATAGTGAGGTTTGAATCTTATGTGCATTTTATACTTGATGTGGTGGTGGTGGTGTTCTGTGGAATCGGTTACAACTCATAGTGACCCTGCATATAGGGTTTCTGAGGCTGTAAATCTTTATGGGAGCAAAAAGCCTTATCTTTCTCCTGCGGAACTGAATAGTATTTTGAACTACTGACCTTGAGGTTAGCAGCCCAACTCCTAACCATTATGCTACCAGAGTCCTTATTTTATATTTACAGGCTCACATTTATCACTCTATTTCACACTGTGGAATGATGAATTCATATTTTGTGTGCAGAAAAACTTTTTTATAAATAATTAAAATTTCATTGTATTTTTGATATCACATAACCCTGAACCTCAATTTTTTTTTTTTGGTTGAGAGGGGTAAACAAATTATCCAACTGTTGGTTGCTGTTAAGTTTATTGCAACTCATGGCAATCCCATGTGTGATAGGGTGCAACTTCATTCATCCCATCGGGTTTCCAAGGCTAGGATCTTTCAGAAGCATTCACCAACCTTTCTTATGAGGAGCTTCTGGATGAGTTCATTTTTATTAATTTAGATTGGATACAAAGTTGTTTAACATGAAATGATGAGTAATGTAATTTTTTTTTTTCTGTAGGCTACAGAGAGTGAGGTAGGAGATGTAGATTTGACACGTCTTCCGGAAGGACCTGTTGATTCTGAGGATGAAGAAGAGGAAGATGAAGAGATTGATCGGACAGATCCGTTGCAGGGGCGAGATCTTGTTAGAGAGTGTCTTGAAAAAGAACCTGCAGACAAAACTGATGATGACATTGGTAATAAATACACCTGTTCATATTAAGAATTTTATGACTTAATTTATGTATTGTGTACTTATTTGCTACATAACAAACTACCCCAAAACTTAATGGCTTAAAATAGCAAAATTTGGTATCTTGCAGATTCTGTGGGTCAGAATTTAGAAGTGGCTCATCCAGGTGGTCCTGTCTTAGGGTGTCTCATGAGGTTGTAGTCAGAATATGAGCAGGAATTACAGTCATCTGAAGTTGGAATGGAGGGTGTACTTCTAAGATTGCTACTCATCTGCTTTTTAGCACAATTTTATTGCCATGCGGGTCTCTCCATAGGCTACCAAAGTGTCCTCATAGCATGGCAGTCAACTTACCCCTAAAGCAAATAACCTAAAAGAAACTAGGCAGATGACACAGTGTTTTAGGATCGAGTCTCAGAAGTGACATATAATCACTTGTGTCATCTTTGATGTCACAGAACAGCCTAATATATTATGGAGGACAATGACATGAGAATATGAATATTAGGCAATCTTTGAGGCTGGCTGCCACAGTCATATTAAATTGTTTTTTATCTTCCATATCCATGGGGTATCTAAAATGAAGTACAGCAATGTCCAGTGTACATAAAGTAGCTTTTTACATTTCAAATTACATTAAAAATTGTTTTTATTACCCTAACCTGAACATGTATTTAAAATTTTTTTGGTTAGGATATGAATTTCCCTTTATACAGTTTCTTATATAGCTGATTATACTTTGAGATGTTGCATGATACTAAGGATACTAATACATTCTTTAAGGAACAAAAATTGTTGCATATCATTATATATTGCTGTGATTCTATTAAGATTTTATCCTAGATTCTCATGTTACTTACTGTTATTTGAATTAGAAAATACTACTATTAATAATAATGGTTATTTGTACGAGTAAAGGATCTATACATTAGAATTTTCCTTGCTATTCTATGAACAAAAATATAGTTAATCTAATGTAGATTCAATTTGTGAACATTATCTAGACAGAAGCTGAGTTTACATTTTTAATAATAAAAAATATACTGTGCTATTTTCACAGAGCTTTAAAAAAACAAATAAAGAAATATAATTAGCTCCCAACTGTAGGTAACACCTAATATGTGTCTATTTTAGCCCTTGTTGTTGTTGTTAAGTGCTGTCGAGTCGGTTCCGACCCATAGCGACCCTGTACAGGGTTTCCGAGGCTGTAAATCTTTATGGGAGCAGAAAGCCTCATCTTTCTCCCGCAGAGCAGCTGGTAGTTTCGAACTGCTGACCTTGCGGTTTGCAGCCTGATTTGTAACCACTACGCTACCAGAGCTCCTTAGCTGAAATATATATAAACCAATTCCAATTCATAGCAACCCTATGTCAGGTTTCCGAGGCTATAAACCTTTATGGGAGCAGAAAGGCTCCTCTTTCTCCCACAGAGCAGCTGATATTTGAACTGCTGACCTTGAGGTTAGCAGCCTAATGCATAACCCACTACCCCACCAGGGCTCCTTTTAAGTTAATAATCAATGCCTATACCCAAAGTAATTAACTTAAGGTGGTGGTAGTAGTTGTTAAGTGCTGTTTAGTTGGTTTCAACTCATAGCCACCCTGAACAGGGAATCTGAGGTTGTAAATCTTTGCTGTAATAAAAAGCCTCATCTTTCTCCCATGGAGCAGTGGGTAGGCTGAAACCACTGACTTTGTGATTCCTCCTTTAGTGCTGATCCTACAGAGCCATTGTGCTCCCCAATCTAAGGTGGTTGTTGATAGTGGCTGTGTACTGTTGTGTCAAATCCGTCTCATAGAGACACCCTGTATTGGGTTTCTGAGGCTGTAAATCTTTATGGGAACAGAAAGCCTCATCTTTACCTTGGAGCTCCTGCTGGCCTTGCAGTTAGCTGCCCAACACAAAACCCACTACGCTATTAGAACTCTCCTAAAGATTTGCTGGTTAAATTAATGAGAGTTATCTTGGGCAGCAAGTCTCAAGTTCTAATTCATGTTTTTGTTATTTCTAACATTATTAATCATTTATATTTATTAATAGTCTTTGTTCTTTTGACTCTAGCTTAATTAAGTAGACTTGTTGACTTTTTTTTAGATCAAGGACTTAAGAGTTTAACCACCACATCTCAGGCTAGTAGATAAACTCTTCAACCTCATTTGAAGTTGTGTAATTTGCTGGTTCTCTTTGGAGGTTATGGAATTCTGGTAACTTTCTCTATACCTATACTTATATATGAGTTTGAGTATATCTATAAACCATGTAACTGATTTTAAAAACATCTGCCACATTACTGGTTTCTCTACGTTTTCAACATTGCACTGGTTTCTCTAGAGTAGCATACATTCATAACTGGGTTAGGAAATTAGGTATTGTATTCTAGGTCTTACTGAAACGTTAAAAGTATATGTATTTCCCTTGCTTCTCATTACAGTAGACTTTTCTTTTTACTCATAGAACAATTGTTGGAGTTTATGCATCAGCTCCCTGCTTTCGCAAATATGACTATGTCTGTAAGGAGAGAACTCTGCTCTGTGATGATCTTTGAAGTGGTGGAGCAGGCTGGAGCTATTATTCTTGAAGATGGGGAAGAAGTAAGTTAGCAAATAAATATTACACATTGTCTAATGTGGAAGCTAATTTTAGAGTACTTTATTTTGCAGAAATTGCATAAATCTTTATTTTTGAAATTTGTACAGCCTCTTAGATCTGAGTTTTGGATAGGTAGGATATATGAAGAGATAAGGCGTCTTTGTTGTTGTACTTCCTTTGCTTTAATTTTTATTTACTTGTAATGGGCTTTACACAGAGTGGTGTTGTTACATGCCGTCCTGTCAGTTCCAACTCATAGCGACCCTGTATAGGGTTTCCAAGGAATATCTGATGAGTTTGTACTCTCGACCTTACCGTTCAAATAGGTGCTCAATTATTAATATAAGTGGTGGTATGCTGTCAAGTTGGTTCCAGCTCATAGTGACCCTGTATAGGGTTTCCAAGGCAGTAAAGCTTTATGAAATCAGAATGCCTCATCTTTCTCCCACAGAGCAGCTGGTTGATTTCAAACTTGTGGTTAGCAGATCATCGCATAACCACTACGCTACCAAGGTACCTTAATTGCAGCCAATTAATTTTTGTTTCTCAAATTAATTTGTTAAGAGGATTTTATTATTATTCTTAATCTTTATTCCAATTGTGTTATATCATTATCATTGTTTAAAATGTTTCCCAATATCTACGCACTCTTCCTATTCCTTTTTAATAAAATGCCTTAAATAAAAGAATCAGAAAATATATTGAAAGCAATACTTCCTAGTGATCCTGCTGCCCATTGAGGTAATAATGTACCCATTCTTTGATTAAAAAATGCTTGTTTATTAACTTGTGGATAGGTAGATGGAGAATGCAGAGGGATTGAATGGCATTAATGCTGTTAGGAAATTTTCAGTGTATTTCTTATCAAATTATTAAAGATGAATAATACTTGATAAAAGTTCTTTGAAAACAGCTATTTAGCCCTCAAGCTTTGTTTTTTAATGTTTTCTCCCTACATCATATTAAATATCTGCCATAGAGGTTATGTACCCCAAAAAAGTTTGATGGACAGATGTATGTAGTATTAATTTTTTTTTTATAAAGGCAGTCTAAGTGTTTCAAACAATTCAAAATACACCTACTCCTCATTTAGCTATATAGTTAGGTTCAGAACACCAGGTCATTATACAGACATCAACAGTATACAAAAATGGAGAATGACATCTTTAATTAACTGCCACACCACTAGGTTATGGCCTAACCAAGTTAACACATAGCCTTACCCATAACACCCATCGTTATTCTCACCTTATACCTCAGTGTTCAGTACTGCCAGATATACGTCATCAATGCTCAATATAGTCGGATCATAGATTTTTACTATTGTCATAAATGTGAAATGTTGGATGGCGAGATAGTACTTGAGGAATAGGTTGTATATATGCATGAGAGAGAAATAAACCAAACTTTTACTTTCTTTTCCACAAAATTTTGTTTTCTGATCATTATCCACAGTTCTATTAGCAATAATTTATTGAACCTTCACTCACTACATAATAAAAAGTTTTTTTTTTTTTTTAAAGAAAAGAATTCATTGAGTGACTGTTTTGCGCCAGGTACTGTTTTAGATACAAGTTTACAGTGATGAAAGAAAACATTGTCAGGCTTGAAATAGCTTATATAACCAGCAAGGCCCACTATATGGTATATTTTTCTATTTGTATTAACAAAAAAATACACTTTTGAAAAAAATATTTGTTGTTGACACTGATTTTTCCTTTAGCACTAACAATAAAGATTGCCTTTAAATCACATAAAATACCTAAAAATTTAAGCTAAGTAAGTATGTGGTGGTGGTTATGTGCCATGAAGTCAGTTCCGACTCGTAGCGACCTTGTACAGGGTTTCCAAGGTTGTAAACCTGATTGGGAGCAGAAAACCTCATCTTTCTCTTGTGAAACAGCTGGTAGTTTTGAACTGCTGACCGTAAGGTTCACAGCCCAATTCACAACCACTACACTACCAGAGCTGCTTAAGCTAGTAAGTATACCTCCGTGTACATAAACACAGTGTTTTCTTAGTATCTGGAGCGATTTTGAATATTTTTTTAGGTATGCCTAAAAATTCAGCATTTTGCTGGCCTTTCGAATTAATCTTTTTTTTTTTTAGTGCTCTTCTAAGCCGTACTATGTATTAACTCATTTAATATATTAGCACAGTAGGTCCTTTTATCATACCCGTTTTAATAATAAGGAAAATAAGACCAAATGAGTGATTGGTACAGATAAGAAATACTATGTTATTGATAGACTATTTAGTTAGTGACATCAAATTTTTTTCAAGTATACAACTAATATACATATGCTGTTGTTGTTGTAAGTACCATCAAGTTGGTTCTGACTCATAGCAACCCTAAATAGGGTTTCTAAGGAGCTGCTGATGGATTTGAACTGCCAACCTTGTGGTTTACAGTCCAGTGCTGATCCTATAGCACCACACCAGGAGCCCTAGGGTCTATTGTTGTTAAGTGCCATCGAGTCAAATCCTGTATAGGATTTCTGAGGAGAGGCTAATGAGCTTGAATCGCTAACCCTGAAGTTCAAACCAACTTTGCAATGCAGTGCATTAAACCACAGTGCCACACCAGGATTCCTAATATCTATTGTTGTTGTTGTTGTTGTTATGTGCCATCGAGTCGGTTCCAACCCATAGCGACCCTGTATAGGGTTTCCGAGGGTGTAAATCTTTACGGGAGTAGAAAGCCTCATCTTTCTCCCGCGGAGCTGCTGGTAGTTTTGAACCGCTGACCTTAAGGTTCGCAGCCTGATTCATAACCACTACACTACCAGAGCTCCTTTAATATATTAGATATACTAATAATATCTATTAGTAGATCCTTTTTCAAAATAATAACTTTTTTAAAAGATTCTTTTAATCTTTGTTTTTTATAGCTTGACTCATGGTATGTTATTTTAAACGGCACTGTAGAAATCAGTCATCCAGATGGAAAAATTGAAAATCTCTTTATGGGAAATAGTTTTGGAATTACTCCCACTCTGGATAAACAGTACATGCATGGAGTTGTAAGGACTAAAGTAGATGACTGTCAGGTAAGCTTATCTCCTTGGTCAAGTACTCTTGTTTATTCTTTGATTTAAAATGGTTGACCCTGTTTTTTATTCCTCAAATCAAAATAGTTTTATTTGAAAATTGGGAGTTTCAAAAGCTTCCAGTTTATAAAGGAAGTTAGATTTTATGGCCATTTCAATTTTTTTTTTAATTGAGCAAATTATATCTGATAGAGGGATGTATATATAGAAAAGAGAGTATGCCAAAAAGATGTTGGTTTGTTGTATTTCTACTAGCCAGCTCAGTATTTTTAAAAAAATAAAGGAAAGAAATAGGAACTTCTAGGTTGTTTCTAACTTAGTCCTGCTTCGTGTTTTTCTTTGCATAGTGTCTCTTTTGCGAGAAGTAAATGCTAACTTCTCCTTTTACAACAGAATTCAAAACAGATTGGACATCTTTGCTGTCTTTGAGTGTGAATTAGTTCATCTGTTCGTTAAGGATTAAAGGAGTCCAATGAAAAAGAACTGATGCCTCTAGATTTCTTACCTTTGTGCTCTGCCTGGGTGCACAGTGATATATTTATGTACTACAGGTTCATTAATTGTCCCCATGTTGTTCTTGGACAGTTTGTCTGCATAGCCCAGCAGGATTACTGGAGAATTTTAAATCATGTGGAAAAAAATACTCATAAAGTTGAAGAAGAGGGAGAGATTGTTATGGTACATGAGCACCGAGAACTAGATCGGAGTGGAACCAGAAAAGGACACATTGTAATCAAGGTGGGTGATTTTTATTTATTCTGGTCTCTGATGGAGTAAAGTTTTCAACTTGCTTAAAAGACTTTGAATCACTTTTATAGTACAAGATAAAAAACAAATTGTTGGCTCACTTGCCTATTTTTTAGTTGGTTTTTATACATTTTCATGATGAAATGTATATTTAATATCTATATGGATGAAATAATATTTTAGAATATACTGGTCAAGGTTTTCTTTCTCAGATTTATTTTATGATCCATTGGTAACTGGAATCAATTTCATCAAAGCTAGCAACATCTTGAAACAAAATAGAAATTTTAAGGGTCATCATAAATCTGTGGACTCATGTGTAGCCCTATAGGGTAAGTACTAGACTGTGAACTACAGGGCCAGCAGTTCAAACCTACCAGCTGCTCATCAGAATTGCTGTATAAGGTTGCTATGTGTCAAAACCAACTTGATGACACTTAACATCAAAAGTAAATCTCTAGGTGAAGATGCCCAGTATTTGCTGGATGGATCTCTAGGGCATTGGAATAAGTATTGGCTTCTCTGAACCTTACTTTCATTATCTTAAAATGAGGATGATAAAACAGTTTTATAAACGTTAAGTGAGGTAAATCAAAGTCTTAGCATATTTTGGAATTTGAGTATTAATTACCATCTGGTTTCCCCTTCTCATTCCCTCTTGTCTCTAAAATCCACTGGATGTGAAATGGGACAATTATAATTGAAAGAGAGGAAATGGATGAATGATTATTTCCCTTTTCAGGCTTGTCTTGATTGCAAAATAAGTGAAGTAAAATTGCAGTAGTTTAATAATATTAAGTGGTATGTTATTATAGACCTCTGAGTCTGATGTCCTATCTGTTCATCTTCAACAAGAATTAGGGTATTTCTCAAAGCTCTCTTTCTTTTGTTAAGCTGTTCAGTGTAAACTTTTGTTTGTAGAAAAGATGAGCATATGGATGGGCTGCCAGAATTCTTCACTGTAAAGTTATCATTTTACTCTATCATTTATAAATATCAAGTAGAAAGGTGGTCTGAGATAATGCCAATATCCTGCCAATTTTTACTTCTACTGATTACACCTGCCTTAAATTGACATTTTTTTATTTCGCTTATTTTTACATTTCTTGTCTTTGTGCTGCCAAGAAGAGCTTTCTTTTCACGATTATTTCTACTGATATGGACTCACTCATTTTGTATCCCCTTACTGTCTTTATTTTTTGGATGCTCAAATTGCCCCAGATTTGGCCAGTAGAATCCTCTGCATGCTGACTTGTAGTTACTTTTGACACATCCCCATCATTCTTTGAGCACTTGCTTATTATTTAGTAAAATAATATGTTTTAGGGTCAGCTTGTATTTCTCATGTTCTAGGACTTCTGGCATGGTGCTGTAGCATAAGCATTGGACTGCTAACCATAGGCTGGTGGTTCAAATCCACCAATTGCTTCTCAAAAACTATATACAGGGTCACTATGAGTCAGAACTAGCAACACTTAACAACAACAAAACCCTGCAACCAGCCATTTTTCTATCAGGAAAGCCCTTTTATAAATGATATCATTTAAAAAGCAAAATCTGGCACTCAATCTATTCATTGCTACTAATGTGTCTGAGTTGGTGTAGCTCTGTAGGATAAGCACTAGACTGCTGACCACAAGGCCTGCGGTTCAAACCCAACAACCACTCCTCAGAAATCCTATATAGGGTAACTGAGTCACAATCAGCTCAGTGGCACTTAACAACTAACGTGTTGTTACTTGTAGAACTTATCAGACAGAGCTAAGCATAGTGGAATTATGCGTTGGGCTGCTAACCATGAGGTCAGTAGTTCGAATCTACCAACTGCTCCACAGGAGAAAGATGAGGCTTTTTTCTCACATAAAGATTTACAGCCTCAGAAACCCTGTACAATGTCACTGTGACTTGGAACCCATTCAACAGCACACCACCACCACCATTTATTAAAAACTTGGCGATGACAGTGATGGTGTTCTTACAAGTCAGTTCCTACACATGGTGACCCTGTATATGGTTTCTGGGACTGTAAATCTTAGTGGAAGCAGAAACCCTCATCTTTCTCCTGAGGAGCATCTGATGGACTTGAACTGCTGACCTTGCGGTTAACAGACCAACATATGTAATCCATTATGCTATATATAAATAGAAGCTAAGTATATGTATATTACATGTACATCTCTAATTTTATATGGTTATTAAGCAGTCCAGTTCTAATTTTTTTATACCACAGGATTCTGTTTTGTTAGTCCTTTTTGTTTCCTTTTTTGCAATGTAAATTACAAACTTCTGTTGTTAAGTACCTTTGAGTCAGTTCTAACCCATAGTGTTTCTGAGGAGCCGCTGATAAGCTTGAACTGATGACTTTGCGGTTCAAACCGACTTCAGAGTCTAGCGTATTAACCCTCAACATCACACCAGGACTCCACATCCCTACTTTAACAATGACTTTCTATATATGCTTAGTATATTTTCATATTTGTTCATTGTAACCAATGTCTACCATGCCAGTATATTTATGCTAGCCATCTCTACTGCTTGCCAAATTGTACGTATTGCCCCCTTCTAGCATGCCATGAGAATCCTGGTGTGGCGCTGTGGGTTAATGTGCTGGGCTGCAAAGTCAGTTTGATCTTCAAGGTCATTGGTTCAAGCTCACCAGCTGCTCCTCTGAAACCCTATATAGGGTTACTGTGGGTCAGGACTGACTCAATGGCACTTAACAACAAGCATGCCATGTTTTTCATGCTAGTCTTGGCAGGGGCTATGATTCAGTGTTTCAGCTAGTCAAAAATAAATCTTAGTCCTGTGTCTAAGATGTTGATCTGTTCCCAGCTCTTACTTAACCATAGGTTTTCTAAGAACAAGATTTAAGCATCTCCAAACTGTGATTGGCCTGGATAATGTATCCAATTTGTTAATCATAGGGGTTATTTTGTTTTCCATAGGTTTTTTTTTAATGTTTTGGAGAGTGGGAAATGAATAGGAATGACCCGTGTAAGGAATGACCCTTAAGTAAGACTATGTGAAGAACCTTATTTCTAGCTTTCTCATAGAGCTAAAGTGGGGAGCCTTTTTTCTGCTAAAATTTATAACATCATTCACAGGCTATACAAAATTATAAACTTAGACATTAGCCTGTATATTTAGTCAAACATTTAATTAACTCATCCCTAATGTAATGGCTAAAGAAGCTCTGGTAGTGTAGTGGTTATGAATTGGACTTCTAATCTCACGGTCAGCAGTTCGAAACTACCAGCTGTTCTGCGGGACAAAGATAAGGCTTTCTGCTGCCGTAAAGATTTACAGCCTCAGAAACCCTGTACATGGTTATCTCTATGAGTCGGAAGCGACTCCATGGTACATAACAACAACAGTGTAATGGTTGGAACTGCAGCTGCCTTGGCAGGACCAAACCAAATGATTTCAAAGGCCTGATGTTTCCCACCCCTATCCTAGAAAAAAGATTTTCACATGGTTTAGCAATGTGTGAACCTTTAAAAAAAAAAAAGTAGGCTAAAAACACCATTAGTTTTTACCATAAGGTTACTCTGAATAATGAGAGTGTTTAGATGAATAGATCAACGTGAAATTTGGTATTACGAACAACATTTGATCCCATGTCTGACTTAGCATCTGGTTTATTTCTGTATTTCATTCTATACCACTTTTTAAAAACTTGCAACAGGTAATACAAAGTGATACAGTAGGTAAATGTTTTTATTCCTTTTTATAAATTTGGAGATGGGCAAGCAGTTAAAATGCTGAATTAATGTAAAAACTGTAACCTCTGGTTCTTCTCAAGGTGATGAACTAGGCTAGGAGAAACTATTGAAGGGAGAACCTCTGTTCTAGATACTAGCAGCAGCATTGAAAGGTTATCTTGGTTTCTATAGCCTAAGGCAGAAAAGGAATATAAAGTGGATTAAATTTGAGGGAGATTTTTCTTTTTAAGTTTAACTCTTTTTCCCTTTTTTTTTTTTTTTGTCATGGGACAAACATTGCTTCTTTCATTTGCCATGGGCCTGTCCCACACTACAGGTAATAACAGTAAAGTTCTTAGTGTCATGAGATGCCAATGAAAAAAACTGAATAAATACTATTGGGTATTTTTCCCTCTCTCCAAACCCGAGTGCTGGTGGATTTCAATGTAAGAAGACCACTTCTTCCCAGGGCTAAGAGTTTAAAGATAAAACTAATTTGAGGAGTTTGTTGTTGTTGTTAAATGCTGTCGAGTTGGTTCCAACCCATAACCACCCTGTATAGTATAGGGTTTCCAAGGAGCAGCTGGTGAGCTTAAACCACTGACCTTGTATTTCATACCACCTTTGAAGTCTAGTACACTAACCCACTGTGCCACACCATGACTCCAATTTGAGGTGTTTAGATAATTCTGATTTGAGGAGTGACTGCAAAGGGACTCATTGGGAGTTCTTTTTGTTGATGTTGTTAAGTGCCATCTAGTCAGTTCCAACCCATAGCGACCCTGTATAACGGTTCCAAGGAGCAGCTGGTGAGCTTGAACCACCAACTTTGCAGGTCAAACAGCTTTGCATTCTGGCGCATTAACCCACAGCGCCACAGCAGGACACCTAGTTGCTGTTTATTTACTAATCCTTTCTCTTCTTGGATTTTCAGGCAACACCTGAGCGTCTCATCATGCATTTAATAGAAGAACATTCCATTGTGGACCCAACTTATATAGAAGATTTCCTATTAACTTATAGAACATTTCTTGAAAGTCCTTTGGATGTTGGAATCAAACTATTGGAATGGTTTAAAATTGACAGCTTAAGGGATAAGGTTGGTTTTGCAAATATAAAGAGCACAAATGTGATTTTTAAACTTTAAATTTTATTCATAAAATCTTTTGCAATGGGTAAAGTAAATGTTAATTTTTATATATTGACTCAATTTATCAAAACAATTAATTTAGTTTTATTTCTGTACGTAATCACTTTTTTTTTTTTTGATGTTTACTACAGCTTTATTTACAATAGCCACAAGGTAGAAACAACCCAAGTGTCTTTCAACAGATAAAAAAACAGTGGTATAGCCATACAGTGGAATATTATTTAGCCATAAAGAAAAAATAAATTCTGATAAATGTTATAACATGGATGAACCTTGAAAACATTATGCTGAGTGAAATGAATTAGACACAAAAGAACAAGTATTATGTGATCCCACTAATATGATATACCTAGAATAAGCATATGTACAGAGACAAAGGTTGTTAGTGACTCCCAGGGGCATTGCTGAAGAGGTACCAAGTTTCTGATTGGGGTATCATCAAATTTATGGTGACAGAACAAGACAGAGAAAGTAATTGGTTTCACAGAGTTTTTACTTAATCACTTTTAAAGTAAAATAGTTTGTTAAAGGTGTATATGAGCTTTGAAAGGCAAAAACTGAAATGAAAAGTTATAAATTCATGAAACATAGTTACATAAGAGGATCTTGCAACTTTGTAAAGATATTTATTTGTTTCTAGAACTCAGTAAAATATCTAAAAACTGATTAGTAGTTTAGAAATGTTTGGCAAGAAGTCATAGATTATTTTTAAGCCTCAAAATAGGAATATCTTAAGTTTTCTGAGTTACATACAGATTTTATAAATCATTCGAATATAACGTATCCTACTGTTACTGTGCCTTATTTAAATCAGCCTTTGAGTATTTCATGGTACAGGCAATTCCCAGGTTACAGAAGTCTGACATATGGACAATTCCTACCTATCTGCCTTGTGATGTGAGGGAAATTGATCCACTTGGCAGGCAATGAGTGGACCCGCCCTACTGGCAGTTAGCACAATCACCGTCATTTGCTGCACATGCAGCTTTTAAATCATTAAAAAAGCTTTCAGGACCTATATAGAATTTCTGAGATTGTAAATCTTTATGAGAGCAGACAGCTTCATCTTGCTACCAAGGAGTGGCTGGTGGCTTTGAATCACCGACTATTGCCTTAACCACAGTGCCACTAGAGCTCCTGAACGAAGGCTAAATAAGAACTGTATGCATCTGTCTGATTTACCAATAAATGTGACTCAAAAATATTGACTTGCACTGTAGCACAGATTTTATTGATAACCCAGGCACTTCCTGTATGTTTGTGTATTTAATGGAAACACTAATAATACCTCAGCAAATTGATGGAAATAAGAAAATAAAAACTACAGTCATAATTGCCTGGCTTGTCTTTTCTAAGTTATTTTAAAGGAAATAAAATTGGATGCAGGTCAGTTATAGAATTCTGTTACTTTGAAGACTAAAATTTCAAAGCATGCTGGCTTTGGTAAGGGTTTCTTAACTCTGACACCAATAGCTAATGATTGTTAATAATTCATTTAAAACTGCACCAGAATTTTTAAATTAAAAACTGCATCAGGAAAGTGAAAAACAACCTATAGAATGTGAGAAAACATTTGCAAATCTTGTCTCTGGTAAGAGTTTGTTGTTGTTGTTGTTAAGTGCTGTAGAGTCGATGCCGACTCACAGCATCCCTGTATAGGGTTTCCAACCTTGTGGTTCAAACTGACCTTGCAGTCCAGTGCTTTATCCCACAGCACCACACCAGGACTCCGGTAAGAGTTTAGTATCGAGAATATATAAAGATTTCCTGAATCTCAACAACTGGAGCTTTGGTAGCGTAGTGGTTACGAATCGGTCTGCTAACCTCAAAGTCGGCAGTTCGAAACTACCAGCCATTCCACGGAAGAAAGACGAAGCTTTCTACTCCCATAAAGATTTACAGCCTCCGAAACCCTGTGCAGGGTCACTATGAGTTGGAACCGACTCAACAACAAAAGATGGCCAACTCAATTAAAAAATAGGAAAAGAACTTGAACAGACATTCATCCAAAGAAATATATAAATGGCCAACAAGCACATTAAAAGATCCTCAATGCCATTAGTCATTGTTCAGTGCTGTGGAGTCAGTTCCAACCCATAGCGACCCTGTATAGGGTTTCCAAGGAGCAATTGGTGAACTTGAACGGCCGACCATAGTCATTAGGGAGATGCAAATAAAAAATGGCAATGAGATACGTACCCTTCATGCTGCCAAGGATATTGTTATTAAGTGCTGTTGAGTTGATCGTGACTCATGGTGACCCTGAGGAGCGACTGGTGGATGATTTGAACATCAGACCTTGTGGTTACCTATCCATTGCTTAAGCTACATCACTACACCAGGACTGTACTGTCTAGATTTTTCAGTTCTAACTCATATCAACCCTGTATAGGGCTTCTGAGGGGCAGCTGGTGAGGTTGAACCATTGACCTTACAGTTCAAACCAAACTTGCAGTCCAGCGTATTAACCCACAGCACTATACCAGGACTCCACTGTCTAAGATAAACATAATATTTTTTACTTATTTTTTTTAAACAAAAGAAGTTTTGGTGAGAATGAGAAGAAACTGAAACCTATGTACATTGTTGGTGGGAATGTAACATACTGTGGCTGCTCTAGAAAATAGTTTGTTTCTGAAAAAATTAAACACTGGATTATAATACTGCCCAGAATTTCCATTCCTAGGTATGTTGTTTTTGTGTGCTGTCGAGTCTGTTCCTGTTCATAGCAACCCTGTATAGGGTTTCCGAGAGCAGCTGGTAGATTTGAACTGCCAACCTTGAGGTTACCAGTCCAATGCTTATCCTGAAAAAGCAAACTAACCCACTGCCACCAAGTTGATTCTGACTCATAGCGACCCTATAAGACAGAGTAGAACTGTTTCATAGGGTTTCCGAGACTATAAATCGTGATAGGGTGACTAACTTCATAAAGCAAAAGCTGAATGGTTCAAATCAGTGACCTTGCAGTTAGCAGGCCAATGCTTATTTAACTGTCTGTGCCTAAGAATTGAAAACAGATGTGCAAATACTTGTACACCAGTGTTCCTAATAATATTATTCACAATTATTCACAAGATGAAAACAGCCCAAATGTCCATCAACTAGTAAATTGATATATGAAAGGTGGTATTTCCACAGTGGACTGTTATTCAGCCATCAAAAGGAGTGAGAAGTGCTACAACATGGGTGAACCTCAGAAGCATCATACTAAGTGAAAGTAAAGGTGCCCTAGAAGTGTAGTGGATTACAAGCTAAGCTACTAAAATTGCATGGTCAGCCATTTGAATATACTGTTCCCTCCTGGTGTTGTGCTGCAGGATAATGCACCAGACCACAAGGTCGCTTGAGTCACAAGGTTGAAAGTTCAAACTCACCAGCCACTCCTTAGAAAACTTGCACAGGATCAGAACCAACTCAATAGCTATTAACAACAACTATGGCATCTTTCAGGAAAATCTTTCAGGAAAGTGAGGCAGCACAGGAGGCACTCACTCATCTCTGCCAAGAAATTTGGAAGACAACTATCTGGCCGACTGATTGGAAGAGATC